CAGCTTTCAAAACATTTTGAAAAAGTCACAGGGAGGACTAATGACTATAACCCCTAAGACATTCCATACGAGGTCTTTTCAATAGCGCTCCATAATCAAGGAGTTTGACCCCTTAAGAGGCATGATGGGGAATTTCCACTAAATATCACAAGGAGGGCCTTAAGAGGCATGATGGAGAATCCAAATTAAAAATCACACTTTTAAAAGGATGATGAGGAGCTCTTGATCGTCTCCAATGCTCTTGGGGTGTGATGATTAATCTATACCAATCAAATCCTCAGTATAGAGTGAAATCATCACGAAAATTGGATTCATATTAATCTACTGATTATCTATACATCTTTCACTTCATCATCTCAATGGCTTCGGTCACGGATTACATTCTTTCATCCAAACAACAAAAAGAGTTGATATGGAAAGCGAATGTAAAAAATTAAACTTGTTTTATTTATTCTATTCTCCATCCTTATAAAGCAAGAAGATTCTTAATCCATATACCTGACTATTTCAGCACAAAATATCATCACCTAATCCTCAACAACTAAGCCAAAGATTATTGTTAAGTAGTAAGCCACAGTATGATTACCCCTCCAGCCCTACTATTTCAATTCGGCAGAAAACCACTTTTCGCCACGTATAGTAGAAAACGAGCAGGTAACTTGTGGCAACCGTATAGGTACCTGTATTACCAGAGGGTAGTAACCAGACCTGTACCTCTGCCATACGTTCAGTCACTTACACACCACAAATTGTTGTGTGTTGCTAACCTTTTTGTACCCCCCTACATTGAGAACTCTATTGAGCGCTATTTCAACATAATAGACATATGTTTCGTGCGCGATTTCAACCACTTTTATGAGGCGCGATGATGCGCGCACCATGGCACAATTTCGGGTGCGCGGTGGAGCGCGAGCGCGATCGCGCCCCTTAAAAATGAAAGCCTGCTGTTGTTGTTGTTGGGTGGGTACGCCGGTGTCGCTGCCCTCTGAGGTCGGCGACGTCTTCATCCTTGCATGGGTTGCCCGCGGTTACTGACGTACGTGCCTGTTTGCATGTTGTTCACAGTACGCTTGCATGTTGTACGTCTCATCTTCTTCACACATTTAATATATAACTGTTACACACAGAAAAAGACTACCTACAAGATAGGGCTATTAAAAGAATATCTATCTTTTCAAACTGTTCGAATGGCTGCATCTCCGTGGCTGCCTCACTGCTGCTGCTGCTGCTGCTGCTGCCACGGTGTGCTATTTTGGTAGGCAGGGCGTGTAGACTGCCTCCACGTCGTTCGTTCTACGGCTTGCTTGCTGTTGCAGTGATGCTCGCGGTTACACATTAATTTCGTCTTCCTCATTCGTGAGCCAGGTTACTCCCTCCTCGTAGAATTTGATTACAATCTAGGGGCATTTAATATTTGCTTGCCGGGCTGGGACGAAATTTACCTCATTGCTGCCTTTCCACTTCATCAAAAACATGAGCTCTCCGGCTGGACTCGGATGCGCCGGTGATGCGCTCTGGTTGGAGTCCTCGTGTGAAGCCACGTGAATTCGATGAGTCCTCCTCCATCTTCTTTTCCTCTTTCAACTTTTGTTGAAATTCCGGCATCGGATCTTCGCTGTTTAATTTTGCTTCAAGCCCACTGTGTGTCATTGGAGGTTCGGGATGATGGAAGGCAGTAGTGGTGGGCTTCATAGCGGGGTAGGATTAGGTGATAGGTAGCATGCCGGCTTACTCGATATTAAAAATTTACTATTAATCAAATACATTACGTTAAGCTGAGCACAATTAGTGAGTGTTGTACTTTCATGAGTGAGAACGGCGTCCATGCTACACTGTACAAACGCTAGCGGCTACGCTGCTGCGCTGCCGCTGCCGCGAGGTCACTTCTTCACTAAGAATAGCTTCAGCGTGTTCCTACGCGTTCTATAGTCTCTATGGAAAGTTTCCATTTGCGATGGGCCGCTGCTGCTGTTGACGGTATTGCAGTCGACGTTGACAATGGCTACGCTGCCGTCGCGGCTGTTAATGTTGATGCTGCTGCCGGCGATCTCTTCACGATGATGCTGCTTCTGTCAACGTTGACGCTATTTTGGCGCTGATGATGCTTCTAGCGCTCGAAGTTTGATAGTTCTGAATGCTGGCGATGTTACGATGCTGACGTCACTGCTACTAAAACCACCTCTTCTTTCTTGTTCTCCTCTTCTTCTTTCTTGTTCTCTGTTTCTTCTGACTTTCTTCCGCACGAATCCTGGTGATCACGGCTGCAAATGTATCATTATTCTCTCTAAATGTACCAGGCTCTGCTATCGTACATGTGATGTGGGTTGTATCAGTGTTATAGACGGTTCGTACAGCACGTCGGGAGATGCCCGACTGTGTGTAGGCACGTGATCGTATAGGTCGTAATGTTATGAACCTTGCGTTGTGTATTCGTCTCCACTCGTTGTTTCTGTTCGTGCTTGCGTTTCCGCTTGAAGGAAATGTCAGACTTGCCTCTTGTGCGACGTAAGGCGAGTAGCGAATAACTTCACAGTAGAGATAACACGTATTAGTTGTAACAGACTAGATGGTTTTATTCTACTCAGAGAATCACTAAATACAGACATATATATCCATCGCGCGTGTGTGGTCATGGTGGGGGGGGGCGTATATGGTATGGTGCGAGCGCGTATCTCCGGACCATAGTGTTGTGACTATGGGCGAGGGAAACTGAGCTCAGCTGGGAATAGATTTTATATCGAACTTGATATTAAACCAGGGTCACCTGACCGAAAGGCTGGTTGGTGATTGGGCCACGCCCTTACTACGCAGTTAGAAAACCAAGCGGTCACGCGATGTGCTATTCCTAACCGCGTTCAAGTTTAGCAATGATGTCATCGCGCTGAGAATATCCCCACAGCTTTTCGCGTAGCCCTGCTATGTACAGTCGTCTGTGATTTGAGAAAATAATTGTATCAGCTAATCAAAATCACCACCGCAACGCACAACAAATTAGGAATTTTTCATGAATTAGTCTGGACAGTTGAACCCTAACATGTTTTTCCTAGTTTATCATGTTGGGAACTTGACAATCAGCAAATCCAATTTCTTATAATATGTCACAAGATTACATAATGTGCAATATGTGATGTCAAGAATCACAACCGCAACAGTGTTGCTTGGGTGTAGTCATTAGACAATTTCCGAGTTTATGTGCGAAATGTTATGTCAGGCTTATGTTTTCCTGAAAATGTAGGTATTATTCCTCAAAAGTAACAGATTTACACCAAAATTTTTCGACTTTTTAAATTTTTATTCCATGTCACACTTTTTGACACTGCACTGTGGACAGACCCACATACATACGTAGAACATTCGGCAAATTCGATAAGATTATAGTAAGATGATGACACAGAAGAGAAATCAGTTGTAACTGAATACTGTTTATTAAATAGTTTTGTTTCTTTTTCGTTGTATTGTACAAAGGGATGTACTGTAAAGAACAGGAGATAAAATTTAAAAACGTATTTGTTGAAGGCAAAGATTTGTGTAAATACACATTAAAAATTTTAAAAGACAAAAAACTTGCATGGAAATAAATATGGGTGTGTTAATGAACAGAATTGCTATCTTAAGAACATCTACAAATCTAACACAAATATAACATTAACAGATGAATAGGCATAATATGGTTGAGAAAACGAATGTGTGGGAAAAACAGAAGGTTTGTATGCAAACTCAAAATAGTTCCTGGCTTTCCTTGATACATTCAAGCTGTTGCTGTGTGTGTGTTGCCATTGTTGTCGGTCTTTGAGGGCTCATCGTTGTCATCATGGAGGTTTTCTTCGTTGAAGATCGCCTTTAAGCTGGCTTGATAACTATCCAGTTCTTTTGTTTTGACCATCTCTTCCTTGAGCTGGTTCATCTCGTTCTTGAGGGCGTGATTTTGTCTGGTAAGTTTTTTTTCCCCAGTATGCTTCTTGTCTTGTCATGATGTTCCTCATTTATTGTTTTGAGGGATTTTTCTACCTGTGAGACGACTTCCATTATTTGGCGTACTGCATATTCCACGTCGTACTGCTTATAATGCAGTCTTGTACAGATTCCAACCACTTGCAGCATTGATTTGTTCTGTTGCTGTAGTAGCATTTGTCTTGTGGGAATCCATCTATAACCAAAGTGACAGATGACAAAAGAAGGAATTATTAGGTGTTAAAATATCCAAAAAAAGAGAGCAAAAACACCCGATTTTTGTCACTTGCGCATGGTTACGTTAAAACTGAAAGAAGATATTAAGGTTATGTTGTTGCCGATTTGGTAAGGTAGCGATCCAATCATTGAATGGTACGGTCGCTGCATACACTGTGTATGCATAGATGCCAACTCTACCGCTTTTGGCGGTAGACTACCGCTTTTACTGAATTTGCAGCCTTGAGTTGTAAGCTTGATCGTTTTATGGGTAACGCTACGCACAGTGGAATAGGAACGGACCTGGAATAGTATTGCAACTGGCGGTGGTGATGCTGCTGCTACCGCTGCTGGTGGTACTACGCAATTAAAAGGGATCTCATGGAAACCAACGTTGTCAGTGTAAGTGCCATTTCTTCAGTCAGCTCTGCATGAAATTCAACTTGTAACATCTCATATCGAAAACTATCCCAAAATTACTGAACATTTAACTTCATTATTACATTCTTATTTCTACTTACATTATTGGGCTTACAAAAATCTCTTTGCATGCAGCGCAACGCGTTGACAGACGGCGAAATATTAGTAAGGCAAAGATATAGCGCCCCCTATTTTCAGGCAAATCTTTACCTTTTTTGTGTGTCTTTTTTAAGCCTTTTTGACCGTTTTCAACCAAGTAAAGTTTAGAACCCGTCCCGTGTATTCATCGATCTCTTCTGTGAATTTGGCGCTATTTGGATCAAAACTGACGGAGCCTTTCATTAACATACATACATACATACATACAACATTCGGCAAATTATAGTAAGATTTGCTGTATTCTTCCCGACATATGAGACCTAACTGGCCTGTGTGAAATAGTTTTGATAAAAAAACAATGTTTTGGTTACAGCCACATTTTGACACTGCACTGTGGTCAGACCCACCTACGAGTTCGAATTCAGTTCCGTGCGAAATTCAACCATTGTGATACCGGTAGCTAGAATGCTAGATGCTTCTCGTAATATTATCTTGATCTGCGTTTAATTGAATATCGTTTGACAATGGAGGCTATGGAAATTATGTTGATCTTTGCGGTGCTAACAGTTAACATTGGACATTGTCTGCAATTGCTGCTAGCTATGGACGACTCTCACCAAAGGGATTTGCAGAGGAGAAGAGCCCGTTTTCTACTCGCCCGACTTCGGGGACGCTGCCGGTTTAGCGTTAGACAGAGAGCGATGATCGTCGCACATCTTTCTGCGGCATTGGCCATGGGCAGTCTGCAGGATAGGCGGATAGGCAGGCTTGATAGATGGCATGGAAAATTGTTTTGGGAGCAAATTGTACTGAATTTCAGTGAAGAAGAATGGAGACGACGTTTCAGAATGGGAAGGGCGACGTTTGAATATATCGCAGATCATTTACGGCCAGCTATCGAAAAACAGATGACGAATTTCGGGAGACCGATTGACTACCGGAGAAGGATGGGCGTCGTCATTTGGTGGCTGGCAACTCCGTCAGAGTATCGCGCCGTCGCAACTTTATTTGGAGTTGCGATATCGACATTGTGTTTTTGCAAGAGAAGTGTGTTTTGCAATTAGAGATATCGACTTCGAAACGGTTTAGTTTCATGACGAACTTTCAAAATATATCGGATTACAGAAAGGGGTTTGAACTTCTTTACTTTAGTAAACTTTACTCTCGACTTTACTTTAGCATTACCAACATTTTCGGTGATTTGATAAGGAAAACTGAGACCAGTCCCACATGAAAAACTGACTGATGCATGACTCATGTTTCTGTAACAGCAGGGTTCTCCCCAGAGTCCTTTTGAGTATCGGCGCCGATACGCGGTCATTTCGGCCCGATACACTCTAATTGTTCCGATACTCACTCGAGCAGACCCGATACTCTGTTTTGCTGTGCCAATATCTTGATAAATCTTCCAATAAATGCCTATATTTTGTGATAAATAGCATTTTAAATCCCTCCATGCATCGTCGATATCCGCCATTTTTGTTTACTACCGATTGGAGACTTCTGCGCGGGTTCACGCGCAGGTCAATTATGTCACACGCTACGTGATTTAGTTGATCGTTTGGCAGGCTATTTGATAAGACTACACATGATTGGATCATCTCGTTCAGTCATCAGGGATTCAGCAATATGATTGGCTACAAATTTACTATAATCTACTAAAATGAACTCGATGACCTCGTAGTACGACGCTGTTTGAATATACTGCTATATTTGTTTGAATTTGTTTTCCCTCTCTCTTTCTGACCTTCACCATCAATCAGGAATTCAGGATGGATAAATTTATAAAACAATGGAAGTCCAAGAAGGATATCCATACAGAAGAAGACTCAGACTCAGTCTCAGTGCAGCAAGAGACTCAAGCAGAGTCTATAGAGAGTGTAGCTAAAGTTAATAGAGATCCAGAGAGCTTAACTAGCCCCTCTGAAAATAGTTGTTACTATTTTATGTCATTTCATGGATCATGAGCAGCACATTTCTCAATAAAGCAGGCATCAGATGGAACTTGTGCTACCTGATATTTTTAACTACTGCTTTTTGTTGTAAATATGCACTATTTTTCTGTCAATAAATACCTGCTAATTTGTGATTTAAACCCCTCAGAATGCAGCACAGAGCACCTAAAAATCAAAATTTTCCTGGGTGGGGGGGCATGCCCCCAGACCCCCATAGCACGCCGCGTCTCGCGCCTCCGGCACTCGCCGGATGCCTACGGCGCCCATAGTAGTCAATATATTATGTTATCATTTAGGGCTGAAATAATTTCCTGGCTATATCCCTGAACAGGTAATCTATATAAAATCTTTATACTAGGAATAAATAATCAGAAATAAACGAGCAGCCTACCTGTAACGGCCTGTGGTCGTTACAGTTTCCCTTGAACTGTATAGCTATTTCTTCCTCAGCTCGCAGTTGGAGCATAAACAGGTCCTCTTCTGTCTTCCAATTTTTTCCTCTTGATCTGTCCTCTTTTGACACGTCTTCTTCTTTATTACTTAATGAGCAAAAAATCACGAAATGCACATGTAATTACTAGTAATCGTGATAATAATCTGATAATACGTATGCATGCACTACACTAGCACGCTGAAGTGGCAGTGCTAGTGCAGTACACATACTATACTGTATGCACTGGCTTTGTATGCATACGTGGGTAACCCGGAAGTGGCATACACAATTTCCGGTTCACGGGTCACTGAATTTAGAGCGAGATAAAGTCGAGATACCTTTTATACTGACGTTAGCTCGGGTCTGACATGCCCTAGTGAACTATATTCGAATCAAAAAAGTTCCAAGCGTCGTCATTGCGTACGGCAGTGGTATGGGGGCGTGGTATGGGGGTATGTTTCGGATCAGATGACGGACCACCATGCTCCAGAACTAGGAACGGTAAAATGCTGGCGCAAGGTGGTGTTCCATCTCATAAACAGGACTGTTACAAATGCATACATATGCTACAAGAACAACCCTAATGATCCAACTGCACCAAACAAACGCATGACACATTTGGATTTCATCATTGCCGTCATTGAGGGGCTTATTGGCGGCTACCACGAACCCAGAGCGAGGGTCGGGAGGCCTGTCTGGTCGGAAGTCTTGGTCCTGCAGAGGCTAGAGTGACTGCCAGACACTTGCCAGACACTTCCTAGAGAGGCTCCCATACATTAAACGGAAGAAATGTGTTGTCTGTGCACAGAAACGTGACGTTGGATTCAAGTGTACGAAGATAACAGCGTGGTGCTAGGACTGCGGTGTTGGACTATGCAAGACATGCTTCCCACAATATCATAAGTAAGGTAGGAAAATTCAATTTTTTACTTTTACTCTTATTGACTCTTACAGTGTATTTATGTATAATCATAATGATTTTACCATGATTTCAGCCTCAAATAATGCCCTAGAGAAGTTTAAATCAAAGTTACCCATTTTTAGGTAAAATTTGGGAATTAATTCGCCCAAATTACTACGTATTTTGGCAAAAACCTGCCTCTAAAAGGGTTAACATTCCAACCTTTTTTAGGAAGAAAAATATTATGTCTGGTGAAACGAAAGTTTTTCGAGCGATCGTAAAATCGCAAGTAAGAGAGTGCATAATAGGCTTAGCCAAAACATAAAAAAATTCTCACACAATCTTTGACATCAGCTGAAATAAACTTGGCATCAGAGATCACTTATATATGTTTTATGCTCTGCAATTTTAGAAAATGCATTGTATCAAAACATGCCTGATTAGAAATTTATCTATCAAAACCAAATTGTTGAGTGAAATTCGAGCAACCTGTCAAGACAATCGATTTATGGAAGTCTGTATGAATGCAAATTCACTCTGTGTTAACAACTGACAATGGAATAGAATAAAAGTTCACCATTTTTCTTCTGGTGTGATCAGTTTTCAGTTGGCTGTCCAGGTGTTGTAAGTCGTCTACTGTATTACACGGAAAACGAATATTGGCTCTTCGATATCTTCAGCTGGCTCGGCTGGTTCACAGAGTTGGCATTGTTCCAACCGTCTAAGGATTTCACCTTGTTTCTTTTGCTCCTGTTGCATTTCGGCCATTATACTAAGGAGTTGCTCTGAAATTGTGACAAATGAGTCGAATTTATATTAAATTCAAATAATAGGGATGTGGATCAAGTTTCCACAGACCTGTCTGGTAACAACCTGAAAATAGTAATGGCTACAAATTCAGAGTGGAAACTACATATATAGTTCAAAAGAGATTGATGCATTCAAGATGAATTGTTATCCAGGAAACTACTACAGATCCACTGGTAACAGATCCACTGGTACACCACTAACAGAATTATCGAGTGGTTTCCTACAAGTATTAAAAGAGGAAGAAGCTGAAATGGTCTGGTCTCCAAAGGCAAATGACTCCTGAGGACGACCATGCTGGTGCCATGGTCACCATGGTGTGAGCAAAATACTGCAACTTACCTAATGTTGCCTGGTTGAATGAAGATGTGATGTTTGGTGGAGTAGATAAAGAGCACCTAGTCTCCGTATTCCTGCTAATACTACTATGAGCACCTGAAAAAAAAAAACGGAAAATCAATCATTTGGCATTCGACTCTAGCAGGTCTAGTTCTTCGAC